CAAGGGTATTTTTTAAACTTTGTTGATGATTTACAAAAATAGACAATAATCAAATATTTACACACTCCAGTGTTATAAATATTCAACTTAGTAAAGATTATAAAGGTCTAAGAGATAAATGACATTTACCAGTAACCCAAACATTGCTGATATTTACAGGGTTTGTAAATAAATTCATACCTGTAAAAATTCCTATTATTAAGTACTTTTGTTTCTTTTCTAATATGAAAGTAATCTTATGTGTAATAATTGTCGTATGTCATGACTCATTGTCTCTAGCCAGTATTATGTTTTAAAGCTGGACTTTCCTAAGCTGAAATCACCTCAAATTTTTCTCGTCAACTTATGTTTTTTTATTCGTTATAAAAATTAAAAATACTCATAAATATTGAGGAAAATGGTATACAGGGGGAGAAGCTAAAGTTTGACAATGTAAATACAGTAATAATTGCAAAATAAATGATTTTTTAGTAAAATGGCCATGACAAAAACGCCTGCAATGACACCTCAGAATTCACGAATTAATTTGATTAAAAAATGTAATGATTTTATTCCACTTTTGTTTTTAGGACATTCAATATTTCAATTGTTGATTAATTACTGTTATTATCAATGAAATGTAATCAAGATCTTTTTAGGTTTATAAAAAATAAGTTTTGCAAGTTTTTAAAGTTTACTTAAATATTATTATAACGAAAAAAAAACAGAAAACTTTTATTTACTCTAAAAATTATTTCAAGGAAATAATGAATAATGTTCCGTTAATAGACTTAAAGTGTTTAAATTATTATTTAACTCAACAAGGAGTATTGTGCTCAGAGACATCGAATTTCATACTTTATTTGTTCTGATATGAGAATTAGAAATACGATAAATTTCCATAATAATACTTGTATTTATAATTGTAGATCAATGAACTCCAAATCTCTTGATAAAATGACTCTAAACTTCATCGAACTTAAATATCTAATTAATAATTTGACATGTCGTAGTGATGAATATTTGTAAAAATATAGGACACAAGTAGTCGAATAAAATTTAATTGGTTGTGTTAAAAAAATTCCTGGTTACATTTTAGCCATTAATATGCAGAATTCAATAGCTTAAAAAAAATTGCATCCAGGTTTTAGGTTCGTTAAAATTAATAAAAATAATTACGAATAATCTGTAATCATTATCGTTCATTTATTCAAATCATAAATCTGATCGACAGGTCAGTTGACTTCTAATGCCTTCTAAATTCTTACTATAATGTAAACTCCCACTCTGCTGTAAATACTTCTATTAACTGCATTTATGTTGTTTTATTATTTGTAAGTTCTAGAATAAGAGAGATGAGTGTCAGTAAAAAGAAAAATACGATATTCTGTCCTGCAGTATCGAGTGAGTTCAAATTAAAGAATTAAATATTACCATTTAGAAAAAAATTTATCCATAACAAAATGGACACCTTATTTGAAGGTGAGAATAAAGTGAGTGTCGAAGAGCTTGAAACAGATGATTCTAAAGCTCAATGATCGATGGAGACTGAACATGAAGAAGAAGAAGAAAAGAAGACTGCATCAGGTGGATTGAAAAATAAAATATTTACTGAAGAATTCAAGAAACGTTTATTAATATGGGTTACTCCAATACAAAATTCCGGATATCCAGTTGTAACACAATAATACAAGATGAGAATAAATCGGTTAATTGTGAGGCTGCAAAACAATTTGTGACGGATTTTCAAGTATTTATAACAACAAATAATTATGATATCGAAAATATTTACATTGCTGATGAAACTTTGATTAGATGGAAGATTATACCAAGTCATATATCAAAAAAGAAATATACATGTTCAGAAGAGGAAATATAAAAAAAACGACGGGTTGCACTCCGGGAGTGCCGGCAGAAGTGAAAACTTAAGTATTAACGTTGTGCGTTTTGGATATTTTGGAATGGTTAGGGAATAAGTTTGCACAAATTGCTTTAATTATCAGAATAAAAGTACTATCTTTTATATGGTAGAATACAATATTTATTTATTGCGCTATCGTACACAAACATGACAATTTATATTACATTAAAAAGTTTATCTCTCAAAAAGATTAACTTTCATCCATAATTTCAACGACTTTTTCACTATCATTCTTATCAGAACCATCATCGCCAATCTCTAAAACTGATACGATCGGTTTATGATAGCTGAAGTAAGAAACGAACAGTTTCGATTCGAACCTATTCAAATGTCTAATAAAGACCGCATCAATAGCAGTTTTGTATTTCGTTGTGCTAAGATTAAATAATAATAATCAAATTGACGAATGTCAATTAATTTATTAAAAAATTAATTTAATTAATTTAATTATTAATTAATTAATTGACTTAATGTCGCCCTGCTAAGATTAAATTTTAACGACGAGTTGCACTCCGTGAGTGCTAAGATTAAATAATAATAATCAAATTGACGAATGTCAATTAATTTATTAAAAAATTAATTTAATTAATTTAATTATTAATTAATTAATTGACTTAATGTCGCCCTGCGCCGCCTAAACGAAACAGCCGGCGCAGGCATACATTCTCGCCGCGCCGTAGAAAGAGAGGGGGATACTCCCTCTCCTACGCCACGCCAGCTGTCTACTCTCCATCCGTCTTACGAATTTTCGATCAGGTCACGTGTCCTGACGCGAGTTTAACATTTTTTACCCATTACAAAAAAAGTCTACAACGCCGCTAAAGAAGTTTTCACTTCAAAATCATTTAGCAGTGCTAGTATGTGCTAACGCTGCTGGAACACACTCAGTTCCATTATTGGTTGTAGGAAAACGAGCAAAACCACCATCAATAAAAAAAGTATTACATTCTTTGCCGGTAAAATATACTTCACACAAATCAGGATGGATTTGAAATCATGCAATTTGAAAACATTTTGCTGCATGGTAGTTGATGTACACTGAGAAAAAAATTTACTTCATACAAAAAATATTTCATTCGATCATTAACATCGAAATTTCAAATAGTCGCAATAAAATATTTCTTCGAAATTATGAATATTTCATTGGAATCATTTTACTTACTCAAATGAATAAAATGTTATTTGTTTTCATTCTTGTCGTAACCTTGAAAATTTGTTTTCAAACTTGTCGCAACATTGAAACAAAGACAAAATGTGTTTTTGATAACACTACTATTAGTCTGAATAAAATATTATCTTGAGAATATTCCAAGTTTCTTTTATTGATTGGATAAAAATTCTTTCATTTAACGAAATTTTTTTCTCAGTGTATTTGCATCATTATTACCTCAGACTTTTAGAAATGGTCGGAAAAAACTTCTTCCAAATGTAGAGGACACTTGCACATTAGACGATGAAAGTTTATTGGCAGATATAAAAGAAATGTTTCATCAAATCCCTGGTATGTACTGACAACTTTTACCATTTCTACGTTAAACAAAAAGTACAATATTTTAATCATAGACTAATACGAATCTTTTGATATAGCTTTTACAGATTATCCGGAAGAAAAATTACAACATTGGTTGCATCAAGTTGACTTTGATACCGGTTTCAACTATTCAGAACTGCTAGATTTTGTATTTGCACTCGAAGTTTGATCAGATTTTAAGAAAATAGTACATTTCACACCTAGGGAGGGAAAGTAGTCTAGCTCAAACCACGTGTAAAATTACAACCCGAGCCGAAGGCGAGGGTAGTAAACACGTGGGTTAAGCTAGTCTAATTGTCTTCTCTAGGGCTGAATATGATTTTTCGTCATACCTGCGTGGAAAGTTCAACCCCTCTCCAATGGAAAAGTGAACTTTCCGTGTGGGTATGACGAAAAAAATTTTTTAAGTAATAATACACTACGCTATCAGCATTATTAACAATTGAATGAACCGAAGTTGACAAATAGTATTTTAATAATACATTTTTCCTATACAAGAGCAAAAATCCTATACAATTTTATTAAGGAATTTTTAATTTTTACTGGAGTGACGCAGTAATGCGGTGTCATAAGTTCAAACCCAAGAAAATTTACTCAGTAACCCAGTAAAAAATTCTATAGATAGATGAAATTCTCATAAAATTGAAACAAAAACAACATTTGATAATAAATAGTCAATGATAGTGGAAAGTTTGTCGTGTGGGTACAAAGTATGTCTAGACCCATTCTTTTGTAGGTCTCGAGCCCCAATTCTGAATAACTCCTAAAAAATTTGGAATAAAGTTCTACTAAATTGGATACAGACAAATTATTTGACAAATGTTGTTATAACTGCAAATGTTTGTTGGCTTTACATTCAAACTTTTATTTGTCATTAAATCGATTGATTGTACATAGATTTTATGTGAATTCTTTTTTTTGCAGAAAATATTTTTCGTTATAAGGTTATTTCAATTGTTGAATTGAATTATTATATTCATATTAAATTAATTAACATTGATTTATGTAATGAAAATTCTGAAGTTCTTTTTAAATAAAAAAACAATGCAAATTATTTTAATTTTATTTTATCACATTAAATTAATTAAAAAGTATACTCTGTGCCATTGTCATTAAGGAGTGAATATAACAAAGTTAGAAAATAAATTAATGAGATATCTGCATATTTTTGTTATAATAATTTTGCATACACATCCCATTTGGCAAAATATCGTCTCAACGAAATCCAATAAATATTTTATGCGCTGTTTTTACAGATATATCTGAAAAAGATAGCAAAAAGATACCCAAATACACAAATATGAAATGAAAATTCCGCTGAATTATTGATTGATCGCTGGATGGATATTTTAATTTAATTATTATCATTTTATTATTAATACTGAAAAGAAATTTTTAGGCAATAAATAAAACCCACATAGCTTCGAATCTGGAACCTTCGTAACTGTAGACTTAAATATTTAATGATATCAGGAATAAAACAGGAGTTTTTTTTAGGACCAATTCAGTTTTTATCAAGGAGTCGTGAAACAAATGAAACTTTTAACTCAGAATAATAACAATAAATTATATTGTTAATTGATATATTTCTTCAAGATTTTATTTTTTTATCTTTTACAATATTTTACATTTAGTCATTTAAAGATGATGATTATTATGTTACGAAAATCTTAGCTCAAACTGTTTGGCTACAATCGTTTTTTGAAGTTCTTTTAGACTCTTTCTGAATTTGACACTTTTTTCTTAAATTCAGCAATAATCTTTTCTGCATCTTTTTTTGTTTTTCCAAACATCAAGGCATTTCTCATTACCCTATCAATATCTATTGATGAATATTGGTGCGTCATTTCCAACATCCAAATCATACTTCTCAATTCTTCAGCATTAATATCTGCATCATGTGCTATTTCCCACAATTTCAAAACACTTGTGTTCATTTCGCTCAAATCTTTTGTAATATTAGTCTGAATTTCTACTAGTTTATAGGCTTCTTTCATCAGTTTACAAATATTCTTCAAAGCATCATTTTCTAGAGTTTCTAGTGGTCTTATTTGTTCGTGCAATTGATTAATATTTGTTGGCGCATTCTCCCTGATTTTGCGTAATTCTGATACATTTGCCATCACTTCATTCATATTCAATGGTAACCTATTCAGTCTACTTTCTAGATCCGAAATACTTATCTTCATTTCACTAATACTTTTCGGTGGGTTTTTCTTTATTTGTTCTAATCCCACGTCAACTAGTACGTGAAGATAAAACAATGTCCTTTTTGCATTGTCTATAAAGAATCTTATGTTTCTTACATTGTATTTTTGTTTATCGAAATTCTTTTTAGTATTCAATCTCATTTCTGTCAGCTTAGTCGATTCTGCTTCTAGTTCATGAACAATTCTTGCAGTGTTATTTTTTATTTGTTCAAGACTTTCCTCTGGTTGACTCAAATCTACAAATCGGTTACAACCTTGTCCTAATTCTTCTATTTGATCAAAAACGTAATTCATGCCATAGTATTGTACTGAGTTCGTTGAAATATTGTCATTAGTATTATAAATCGGTATGTCCAGGTTGTAGTCCGAGTCCCATAACTGCTCGAAAATATATTGTTAATTATACAATGTTTTTTATGCTGATTATATATTTGCACTTACCTGACTGCGCCCAACGGTGAAGAGTGTGAATAGAAGAAACGTGATCAGCATTTTGTTAAATCCCAGTGACAGATAATTATAATTTATCAGATGAATTTTCTTCAATCAACCAACAGGCAGCACAATTTTGAATGATTGATTTCAGTTGTCTTCAGCTTTTTAAAGTCTACAGACGTTCGAGAGTATTGGGGGTAAAGAACGAAATACAGCTTATCAAACTAAAATTAATTCTTTTCTTTGAAATATCAAGTTTGCGTTTATTTGATAAATTCTATTATCAACCAGCTGATATAATACTAAATTTTATTATACTTTTTGAGTATGAGTTATATAATTTGTCATTAGTTTTTCCCGCAATTTGATTGACGTTAATCTTTAAAAACATATTTTATTTTTTAAACATTATTTTTAATTTTCTGTCAACAATAATTGAAATGATATAACTAAAGTTAATTGAAGTAAAGAATAAGATAAGAAAAGAATAGGAAATCCCGAAAAATGTTTTCGAGAATAACTGTACACATTACTTGGAATGATTAACGTTGATCAATGATATCTAACATGACTAAATTTAAACTGGGTTTTTTTGATGGCCATGAAATAAAAAGGATAATAAATAATTATACTATAAACAGTACGTATTTTTTCAGTTTTCAATATACTTTTTATCAATAATGTATATAAGATAAATAAAATTCATCATTAAAATTTTACACGTTCGTAGAATATTTAAAATGAATTCTTAAAATAAATATGTGTGCTTAAGACCATAGTAGAAACTTCTATAATAATTAAGTCGACGTTGACCAAAGAGCTTAAAATAAACATCAACACATAATAAACATGCCAACATATCGGTCTAGATTTAATTCGCAAGGTTCACAGGATTAACTTTCCACTAAAAACAATAACAATGCTATATATTTCATCTAAGATTATTTTCATTATTATTATTACTGTAATTAACAATATTGAAAAATTATTCACAATAATCATTAGTTTGAGCAACAGTATGAGGAAATAGTATATTTTACACCTAGGGAGGGAAAGTAGTCTAGCTAAAACCACGTAGTTTAAGCTTGTCTAATTGTCCACCTTAGGGCTGAATATGATTTTTCATCATACGTGCGTGAAAAGTTCAACCCCTTTCTAATGGAAAAGTAATCTTTCTGTGCAAGTATGACGAAAATGGGTCTTTTATCATAAAGTTAATATTGTACTTCTATCGAGATCATACTAGGAGGTTTGCTAGGTTGAAATACTTGAAGAAACCACTGTATTCTCTATTTATTGCAAACACTGAGATTAAAATATAAAAAAAACTTAAAATTCTGTATTCCATTTTAATAAATGATTGACGAAATTAAAACTCAATTTCCTTTCCTTTAATGGGGTAACATATAAATAAAAAACAACTTATTCTCTTCATATTAAAGTTATTATCTTCAAGATCATCCAAAACTCATGTCCTGGTATTCGTTCAATAATATTTAAATTTACATATTTTGCAAGGAAGTTATGCAGATACTTTTTTTCATAGCTACATTTTATTTTCATTTTGTGAAGAAGAAAGGGGATCATTCTAGAAGAATGGTGTTTCCTACTCTATTAGTTTTTATCACCACCAAGATGCAGTTACCATGGATACACGCTTCATCTAAATCAAGTAATGGCGCAATGGGTGTGGTGTATTCCTTTCAAAAAAATTTATTCGATCTATGTTGAGGGGAAAGAATAAAAATGGACGTTAACTCAACAATTTGACTTAATTTCTATTAAGAATATTTGTATCTTAATTTTAAAAATTTGCTATTAATATTGAACAGAATTTGATACTCCACTCAAGTATGTAAATTATTCCATCCAAATCATTAAATAATTGGAATGTTTAATCATTTTTATTAATTTTTAAATGACACTGCAGTTTAATAAAGAAAGTAAAATGTGTTATATTCGTAAAAAAAACATGTTGAAGAAGCAATAATATATTTTTGGAAAATGATTGTATCATAAAACTGTGATCTTCATTCCATAGTGTGCGAATGCTTTTTAAGTTAGCAGTTCAATAAAAATCCACTATTGGAACTTGAATTCGTAAAAAATAATACACAATCTACGTTTGTATCTTTATTCATCTTAATATTGATTTATTGCTTTATGTGACCGTAGCGAATTAAAAGGAAATGTAAGGTAGGTCATAATAAAGAATATTATTACTAAAAAGTATAAAATTTAATGAGATTATTTTATTTTTTGGACTTCTGAGTAACACGCTGTAAAGAATGGGTCATTTATTTGTTGATTTTATTAAACGTCTTTATCCTGAAAAAATGTAAATATTTTCAGTAAATTTGGCCACCCAGAATGACATATTGTGAACTTTATTATATGCCATTATTGCACTTGGGAGAAGAATGAACAATGAGATTGTATAAATGTTTAGGTTTGGGTGTTATGTCATTTTAGGATGATAAAGTGAAGTAGTTAAATACTAAGAGCTACTGTGATACAACCTGAGTCCTAGACTTTTATTTTTGCCTCAACAGAAAATCAGTTGAACATATCAAGCATAAATAATTGTCAAGAATTTATTTAAAGGACAGTATTATAAAAAATTCCCCATAATATTCACAATTAGAAATAATACTACTTGTGAGATTGAGGATATTTGATAAGTTCCGAAGAAAATAACTGATTTTAGAGGAAAATCACCCTTGTACGAATAGCCAACATCTTTTAAACTGAATAAGTGAAAATCACTGCAAATCAGTAACTATTCACTAGTTTTTAGTGCGAATCCAATTACTGATTGACTCAGATTAAGTATCCTCAAGTATGCATTATGGTTAATTTGCAAAAAATATTAACTATTGGGATGTTTTAAATCAATAATTAAATCACTTATGAATTAATTAATTACAAATAAAAAAATAGGTCTGAGCACACTTTGTTTGTACTAACACGACGAACTTCTTATTAGTAATTGTTTATAACAAATTTAAATAGTCATAATCAATGATTGTTAAAAACATCCAAGTCTATGTGATATAAACATTATTTAATCAATAAATACAATTTTTACTTGTTTATAACAAATTCATATTGTTATAAACAATGCGTAATTGTTAAGAGTCATATTTGGTTGTGAACAATAATGTCTAGTCAATATCGACTTAATTTTCAAATGAAATTGTTATTGTTTGGCTTAAAAGTATTTTAAATAGCTAATCATTTCATTTTTTTATTAGTTATTTTGTTATAAAAAAAACGGCTCCATCGAATTCGTTCAAATTCCTTTCAGGTCTTCTTCATAATAATATCTTTCGAATTAATTTTGGTTGAAGTTGATATCTCAATTCGTTCTTGAGATATCGAAAACGAAAAAATGCTGACGTCCGTACATACATACATACATACATACATATATACGTACATACACACATCATTCTAAAAATATGTCAGTATGCTTGCAAATATCTTGAAACGTGGAGATTTAATGAAAATTCAAAAATCACCAATCGACCCAATTACAATTACTTCCTAATGGGAAGTTAAAAATATATCCGTATATTCATGCGGGAGGGGGGGGACCTCCTCGAAAGAAGATAAACATGTATCGCTATATTACCAACAGCATTAAAATCTTTTGACTATTAGCAGAGAATAGAAACCAATACTCGTCTCTGTTCTCTACTGTTAGTAAAGCTGACATTACCATCAGTAGTTGAGGTGTAGTAATAAAATCTATTTTACGTTCTACCTATAATCATGATGCCTACTCCCTTTTCATATTTTCCGCAAAATTGTCAGATATTTATCATTTTGAAAAACAGCTCATCGTCTTTCAATAAAAAATTTCTTCACTTATTTATTACTTCTTAATAAATATGATCAAAATTCATGCAAATTTATTGTCTATGTATTTAATAAAGTTTATATAAAATATTAGAAGGAAAAGTTAATTAATTATATTAAAAAAAAATATTTTGAAAAAAATTCATTAATGTAGTGATCAATGAACTTGTAAATGAAACAAAATTTCACTTTCTCACAGAACATGTTTGAAGCAGCTCTTGAAAACACAATCTTCAATGGGTTATTTGCTATAACAGAACGATAACCAGAAACGCAAACATTGTAGACGAGATATAAAGTTTTAACGGATCTCATAAGATACACAAAGTTATCTTCGTTTTTTTTAGATCTGCAATCCTGTGATTTTTTCTCGGATTAATGTGGATTCGTATACGAACGTATGTATACTTCAATCACTTCTATCGAGCAATCCTTCTTTATTACTGCTTATATTAGAAATAAAAATCATAATCCAAAGATCAATTTAATTAATTCGCATTAAATAAATCATTTTGCCACGTAAAATTTTATTGCGAACTAATTAAAACCAATTAAATATTAATTAAAAGATACTTTCAAGGATAAGAATAAATTGTAAGATGAGATGTGTAAAGCTCACACGCTTCTTACTGCAAATGACTTTAAATCATTGTTTACCATCAAGATGATGAATATTAACACAATGTATGTTATTTTCTGAATGCTCGTATTCATAATATGTCATAAGACAGAGCAAGTTTGCACGCGTGCGCTTATGTACACAACTATTAAGCACTTACATTTATGTCTGTCATAATTGGCTTCGTTAAATGAAGAGAGTGGTTGAGGAATTAGCTTGCCAGTAATAACGTGGCTATTTATTAACACTTGAAACGAGACACGAGCCTCCAATATTAAGCTTTCTCTATCTCATTCTTTTTATGGTTTCTTTCTTTGTTACTTTTACAATCAGATCAAGAATTGTATTTAAACGGCGCCACCCTCAACACTTGAACCGACGGAACAGAAAGGTCACATGTTAACGGGTAATTTTAACACTTTATGGTGTATCGTACTCGCAATTGACATTTCCAATTTATATTATATTTATTTCACATAAAGCTTATTATGGTGAATTGATAATCACATTGATTGTCGTTAACATTCATTGAAGATTTAAAGAAAAAAGATTTATAAAAAGACATCAGTGATGTTGCTCTGCAAATAATAATCATTTAAAAATTTTTTGATTAATTTTGCAATCATTTTTCATTGAAAAAATCATTCTTCCAATGATGGAATATGTTGATGAGACTTGTTAGGCTA